GTATTAGTCACTTTGTCAATCGTTCATGTTTTCTTGTGTTTTCCCAAAGGACCATGAATCAATTTGTCGGACTGACTCACCTCAGGACACTTTTTGTTGCTACTTCTTTCAGCTCAGTCTTAACTTCCCAGTAACCCATTATAGCTCGATGGCCTCTTGACTCTATTCTGCACATTCTATCACAGCCAGGACTCTGCTTATTCAGTAGACTGTTCAGGAATCCTCCACTTGCTCTTGCCTTGGCCTACTTACCTCATCCCTGCAGGCCTTACTTCCCTGATAGGAAAACAGTCCCTCTCAATAACTCAGTCAACAACTCTGTATTAGTTATTCGTCTTGTCGCTAAGACAAGCCACCTGACAGAAACAACCAAAGAAAGGCTTTACTCTAGCCCACAGTACCAGGTAATCTTCTAGCCCATGTCAGGGAAAGTGGTGGGAAGGTGAGGTAGCTTCATTTGCAGTCACACAGATGAATGCTGGCACCCAGATCCTTCCTTCCTTATTCAGTCCAGGACCCCAGCCCATGGAATGGGTTAGCTCGCCATTAAGGAGGGTCTTCCCAGTCTAGATTAGGATAGGCATGCCCAAAGGCTTGTCTGCCAGGTCATTCTAGATCCTGTCATGCTGACACGTAATATAAGCCATCTCACACATTAGACACTGTCTCTATTTTCTTTGATTGTTGGCCTGACTGGTAGCCCCAAATGCTTCACTACCCATGTCTCCCAGCTGTGGTCAAACTGATTTTTAAAACAGTTATAGGAATTGCACAGGAGGATAAGGTAATGGGAAGCGTTATAGTACCCTTCCCATATTAAGTCTTCCTTAATATGGAGCTTGGGACTTGGGCCATGTAATTAGTATGTGCCTGACAACTGCAGCGCATATATTGGTTTACAAACACACATCTGGCGCGGTTAAATAAGGATCAGGATAAACAAATAGGCCGAATAGATGTTTATTCAGGGAGAAATAACTTACAACCTAGACAGATGAACACCAGGGAATTCTGCCTGATGCTCTCCTGTCCGAGTCACGCCAGCAAGAGAGCTTTTCCCAGCTCTCTCTCCGACTTCCTTCCACAGGTCACTTCCGCCCATGGCTCCACCCCCAATGGGCGTGGTCAGTGCCACAGAAGGACTATCTCACTACAATTCCCCTTTTAGTCTAAAGAAAAGATTTAGGCTTAATACAAAACTATATACAAAACAGTGAATAACAAGTGTGCTCTAAGAAAAGGAAATCGAGAACAAAATGACCTACATATCTAGTCCTAGGATGAAGGCAAAATGGAGTTTACAATAGAGTTGTCCTAAGCTGGAAAACGTAAGTCTAGTACCAATTATATCTAACTAGGAAGAGAGAATAATAGTTGTGATAGTTTAATCTTCAACCTCATCAAGACCTGAGAAGGAAAATAACAATACTAGAGTAGACAGGAAGTGTAGATGGACAACTTCCAAAAGGTGCAGCAAGGACAGAAACAGCAAGCCACCTGAACAGTCACCCTAGGTCTCACAGCAACATTGGTACACCCAGTTTTGGTTAAGGCCAAGAGAACTTGACAGACCACAACAACAGCAGGGAGGTAGAATGGCTGTCTTACCCTGACTTGGCAAGGTCAAGCAGTCTTCTATATTTGTCTCCTGTAAGCACATAGGACCACATGTCCAAATCAGTGGTCAAGGTGGGGGCAGTTCTTTGCCAAACAGGCCATTAGCTGAGGCGAGAATGAACTCCAGCAGGAGCAACAACAGTGTCCAACATATTTTCGGGAAAGCTGTCAGGAGCAACAGTGTCTCATGTCAATGGAGTACTAATATTAAAACATTTAAATGCCATGTTCTGCATGTCTATGAAGTGATTGAAGACTAAGCATCTATGTCTGACTAATCTCATAGGTACAGGAAACATGAGTGAAGATAATCTGTAATACTCAGGAACTTAGCTAAAAAACTGATTAAAACTTCCCTGAGTAAAGCAGGAACAAATACTTAAACAATATAACTATTACATATACATACATATAAATCCCTAAAATAGAGGTAGAGTAGAAATGTCAAGACAAGAGGTAGAACTATAAAGGGCAGCATGATAAATATCCCAATTTGTATCAATATACAAATGTCTTGAAAACAAGGAAAGTATACATACATAGAATATGGTAAAAATAATGTGCATAAAACATCGTAAGTGGAACGATTTCACACAATATAACAAAATATAAACTTAATTTTACATAGCTTACCACATAAGAATACACAACAATGTAAGCTGTAAAATACTATCTCATTCTTACTCAAATTCACAAGAAAATAGTCTAATCTACCTATATCCCATCTAAACCATACCTTTCCCAACCATTCCCTATTCCTGTCTAAAAGATAAACCCGAGTGTAAGCATCACCTTCCATACCCAACCCTAAATAACTAAAACCAACCCAAAGACGATGACTATTATCCCAAAATTCCAAGAGTAGGGAAAGGGGGCGTCAGTGCCACAGAAGGACTATCTCACTATACACATCTTCACACCAACCCAAACACCACAATTGCCTATGAAGACAACCCCCTGTCCTTTAGCTTCCAAGCCATACCCACCCTCCACATAATGGCCATAAACTATATCAGAATTTTATGTTACCCTCCATTCCTATCTCCACCAGCTCTGGGATTTACTTCATTTTATGTATAGATGATATAAATATTACTTAAAATAGTAAAATAAACTCTCCCACTAGGGATTCTGAAAAGACATACTTGTTAAGGCTGTGAAAAATTGCCCTGTGTGGAGTGATTTCTGGGTCACTAATATTTCCCACCCCACCTCGTTTTTTTTTTTTTTTTTTTTTTTTTTTTTTTGCTTGCTATTTTGTCTGAAACAAGGATTCTCACTCTGTAGCCCTGGCTGGCCTGGGAATCACCATTTGGAACCAAGCTAGACTCTCAGAGATCTACCCTCCTCTGCCTTCTGAGTGCTGAGGTTGAAGGTATGCACCATCATGCCTGGCCACTAATATCTTCTCTTAAATATGAAGCAAGCCTTAGGTTGAAACCACCTTGGGGAATGGCAGAGAAGATGGTAGGAGAAAATGACATGACCTTTGTAATAGTCTTGAAGCACTCTTTTCTACTGTGTGTGTAATAGTGAGTGCACCTGTGTGCATGTCAGGAGGCCAGGGGTCAGCATTGTCTTCCTCTCTTGCCTTATTCTTACTTTAAGAATTTGTTTTTTATGAGTATGGGTGTTTTGCCTGAATTAGTTCTGGGTACCATTTATGAGCCTGCAGAGGTTGGAAAATGGAGTCTGATCCCCTAAAACCAGAGTGGCAGACAATTGTGAGCCACCAATTGGGTGCTGGGAATTGAACCTGGGTCCTCTGACAAAGCAGCCAGTGCCCTCAAGCTATCATTCTAGCCCCTCTGCCTTATTTTGTTGGGATGGGCGTGGGGAGGGGGACAGCATCTTCCATTGAACCTGGAGTTCATTGATAGACTCAAGCCATGGATCCTCCACTATGCTTGTCTTTTCTACGTGCTAGGGATCAAAACTCGAATCTTCATGCTTTTCCAGCTGGCACGGAGCCTCTCCCCAGCACCTGAGTCATATTGTCATACTCACTAGAAGCCCTGCCTCTGGCTTCCAGTGGTGTATGTCTAAATCTGCAGTATTCTCATTACATCCAAATTTGACAGACTCTGACCTCTAAGTCAACAACTATGGATTTTCATCACTTTTGTGTAATCTATTTCTCCATCTGTAATGCAAAGAATAACATCTACTTAGGACCTGATTGTAAAGAATGAGGTCAAGAGGGATTAATGAAAGAGCCCATAGGCAAAGTGCTGTGAGGTCTACAATCAGATAAAGCTAGTCAGGAAGTCTCCTAAGCCTGACTGCTGACTCAGGAACCAACACATCTGCTTTTGTAAGAGGATCTCAGGTGCTGTCCTGGAACTTATGATCTGGTATCGCTTCCAAAAGTATTCTAGGCTCCAGGTAAATGTGATCACCAATCAAAACTGAGTTTAGCAAAGGAGAATAATGATGTAGCATTCTTAGGCAGCAGGAGTTAGGATTTCTGGATTCTAATTCTAGATGATACTATTACACTTAGGCAAGTAGTAGGACCTTTCTGGACCTGTCTTACTCATCTGCATGCCTGACCTATCTAACCTGCAGCCAGCCCTATTAGGTTCTGAAGGAAAATAACATTTAGTGTCAAGGTTTTATTTTGCTATAACTTAGGCTAAGTAGACAGGAACACATGCACCACTGAAATTGGAGGAAGCATTGGCAATTCATCATTTCAGTGGAACAAGCTTTGTGGTAAAATTAACTATTAACTGTAAGACTATGCCTTCCTCCTCTTGCTATCTGAAGCCAAGAGCTTCCACTCCTCTCAGGAATATGGCATAGTTTGAAGACATCATGATTCTGGTCATAGTTTGAGATCTGTGACATCGTCTAGAAAAGTAAAATCATGAACGTTGGGAAAGGACGGATTTGAATGTTTTCCCCCCCTAAGGGTATGCCTCTGAATGGCAAACATTTTCAGTTCTGTGTGAGTGTGGAACCCACTTGTAAGGAGGGAGGAAGAAAGGAAAGAAGACGTATGTCGTGCCAAAAACTGGCAGGGCTGGGACAGCTACTAAGCCGGGGCTTCGTAGCCTGACCTGGTCACTGAGGGAAATCAAACTTAACCTCCCAATTTCAGACTAGGCCTGAATAACTGCCACAAAGCCTTAACCATTCCAGGCAGCCCGGATTCCGGCTCCTGCATTTAACTCCGCCCATTACAGACAAGCCCCGTCCACGAGACGCGACCTACGCGTCGCTGTGCGTTTTCCAATCAGAGCTGCACTTCTGAACTTTGACCGCCCAACTCATCAAGCCCCGCCCAGCAAAGTCAAGCCCCGCCCACAGAGGAGCGTTTCAATCGGCGTTTCCACTTTACGAGCGTTCTTGGAAACTTTGACCGCTGGAAATAGTACGCATGCGCCATCCTTTGCATGGCGAGCCTTCTGATTCTTGCTGCCTCAGCGGGAGCAGTGGCGATCTTGATAGTCGTGAGACTATGGGTCGTGCTTCGATTCTTTCACGTCGCTTCCCGAGAGTCTCTCAGACTCTTGATAGTTGCTGGATCCGGTAAGTATCCGGGTGGTGGCCGACGTGTTTGTGTCCGGCACTACAAACCCCAGAGTGCATCGCGAGGCTCTTCGGCCGTCTTAGCGCCTTTAGAAGCGCTGCATGCTGAGATTTGTAGTTTTTTGGGTTTTTTTTTTTTTTTTTTTTTTTGCATTCCCGGAACCGGTCAGCCCAGACCAGGAAAAAGGATGCGTAGCCACCCAGCCGCCTTGTCATTAAGACAAGTTATTTATACTTGTCTGTAATTAAGCCTCTCTGCAGTGTACAGCTTCTTAACAAATAATTAGCGTCGGAGTACGCTGAAGTCTCTTGATGCTGACAGACGTTGCCCTCTTTGCTGCCGAGCGTTGTTAACCTAGACCTTTTGTATTTAGGAAATGTGAACATTATGTAGTAAACGAGGCAGAGTTGTCACACATAAATGTGCTAAGTCCTTGAGGATAAAAAGGTGGACATCCCATACAACGATACCCTCAGAGTGAAAATTTTAATTTTTAAAAATTAAATTTTCAATGTGAAATTTTAAAACAATTTAAACTTAAAATTTTAGATGAAAAAGAAAAAAATTAGATGAACAGTTTTAACATGTGTATAGTTAGACACGACTTTACACAACGAAGGTGATATCTGTTCCTCTATATACATCAATGCCATCTGGAATACATATGGTATAATCTGTGGCTCCAGGGGCAGGAAAACAAAACTAAATCAAGCCTAATAGAAAATCATGCAGTTAAGAGACAGTAAATTTGAGGTGTTTAAGGCTGCCTCTGCAATTGGGCTTACATTTTCACAGTAAACTTTTAAAAATAGAATACTCTAATAAAAAAATTACTTAAACCAGTAATGTGGTTGTGTATTATCATTATAAAGTACAAGATACTGAATATTAAGTGTATATTATACTTTTTATGTGATAGGCAGCACAGTGAATTTGTTTATATTGCACTACAAACATAGATTACCTTGGGCTACTATGCTATGATGGTTGTCGTGTCACTTGGCAATAAGGATTGTTCAGTTCCCTTTTAATCTCCTGTAGCCACTGTCACATATACTATCATTGACTAAAACGTCATTATGTGATAAATAACTACACACAAGAAATAATTATCACATAAGCAAATATACCAAACTAACATGCCATTATAATTTCTCATTTACTTAACACATTTTGAGTCATGGGAAAGGCCAGACACTAAACTGAACTCAGGAAAAAACAAAACTGAAAATAGAATAAGTACAATAAAAACAAATAAAAGGATAACACAAGACAAGTATCTCTTGCCACAGAGTGATGTGTATGTGCCAAGCACTAGGAAAAAGACAGAGATAGAGCAATGAATGAAATAGAAAAGCTAACAGAAGATGAAACAAAGTGAGTAGTTACCACACAAAGGACTGAAATCTCAGATTAATATAAGAAGCACAGGTTATTTCCAGTGAGATGCAAAAATGCAAAGCCACTGGGACTTTTGAGCAGAAATAAAATATTTATCAATTTTTTTAAAAAAAAATAGGAACATACTGGATGTAGTGTTGAAAATAGCCTTGAGAAGTAAAGGAAGTGGAAGTGGGGATGTGATCTATAAAAGCTGTATTCATAATTTATATGAGAGTAGCTTAGACATGATAGCGAAGGAGGTGGTGAGAAGTGCTTGGAGGAGCAGGGGAGGTGGCTAAGCAGTTAAGAGGACTTGTTCTTGCAGACGACCAGAGTTTGATTCCCAGCACCCACGTGGAGACTCACAACCATCTGTAACTCCGCTTCTGAGGATCTTGTAGGGATTCAGGGAAGTCCTGAGTGAATGTGTATTGTGGATGTTGTTTGAATGAAAATGGCCCCACAGACTCATGGGGACTGGCACTGTTGGGAGGTGTGGCTTTGTAGGAGTGGGTGTGAGGTTATTGGAGGAAGTACATCACTAGCAGTGCACCTTGAGGTCTCAGGAGCGCAAGCCAGGTCTAGTGGCTCAGTGCTCTCTTCCTGCTGCCTGTGGATCCAGATGTAGAACCCTCAGCTCCTCCAGCACCATGTCTGCCTGCTTCCCACCATGACAATAATAGAATAAAAGCTGTTCGTGAGTTGCTGTGGTCATGGTGTTTCTTCACAGCAATAAAACCCTAACTAATGCATGTATCAAGGGTCCCAATGTCTCAGCCCCATGGTAGTGGCCAGCCCTAGATGAATGACAAAGCCTTTCTCTGGTCCTAGTTGGAATGTTGATAGAATACACAGAAAATATCCACTGCGGCTCCCCCACCCCAATGATTATAGCCTGAAAACTGCTCCCCTATAGATACTGTTCCTATAGAACTAATCTTGCCTCTTTGTTCAGCTGTATATAGCAGCCCTGTCTTCTTGTAATAACCCTTCCTTCCTGTTCAACTGTGTATAGCTAACACTATGAGTTTCTGAACCCCCTCCAGCTTCTTCATCAGAGAGCCCAGCTCACCCACTTCTAGCTTTTCTGTATGTGTATCTGCATGTCTGTCCTTTCCTCATTCCCTCACCAACCATTTAGGTCCATCCCAGGAGCTGTGCAGAGCATGGCAGGACCCTACACTCTCTTCTGACTTCCATAGTCACCAGATAATCAAATGATGCACAGATATACATGGGAACAAAACCTTCATACACACTAAATCTTTAAAAAACTAGAAAATAAAGAAGTGATTAGATGTTAGGTGTGTTTTAAGGTGTAGCCTAATAGTACTTTATCAGTTAACATTATTCTCCAATATATCTCTCTTTTTTAAAGATCTATTTTTATTTATGTGTACACAGTTGCATGTTCATGTGGATACCCATCTACTAAAAGGATTTTATTCCCCCCATTAAAAAATATTGTGTGTGTGTGTGTGTGTGTGTGTGTGTACGTACATGTGTGTGCATGCCTGCAGAGGCCAGAATTGTTTGTCAGATCCTCTGTAGCTGGAGTTGCTTGTTTTGAGTTGTGTAGTGTGGCTGCTGAAAACAAACCTGGATCCTCTGGAAGACCAACAAGTGCTCTTAACCACTGAGCCATCTTCTCGGCCCCCTCTCCTAATACAATAAAAGAGTAAAAAAGGCCGTCAGTAACAGATTCAGTCAATCATTTTAATGACTTTATTCATTAACAGGGTCAGTGATTTTAGTGACTTCTCTTAGTAACCAGGATACATTTTCAATGAGGGTTTCCTTTAAATAGCAGAGGGATGACTATTCCAGTAAGTCTTATGAAGCTCCCATTTCATTGTGGATATTAGGTTTTATCATTAACTGTTCCACTGGGGGTTGGGGAATCCACTTGACAAACCACAACACTTTTTTAAGACCCCAAATGAAAATACTAAAGTGAGTATAAAGCAGGTGTGTCAATCACATGCCCCAGGGAAGAAGACAAGTGGCAAGTTATAAAGTTAACGTGTGATTCTAATTCCTGAAGTGCGTGCTACATCTACGCCTCATTCCTTTCTAATTCATTCTAGAACCTGGGAAAAAAAAAAAAAAAAAAGATCTTTCTCCTATTAGAATACCTGATGAGGGAAAACGTATATTTTGTGTGCTTATATTTCTGTGTGTTCATGTCTTATTTTAAAAAAAAAATCATTTTTAGAACAACAAAGGGACAAAGGGGTGGGGACAAAGGGGCTTTCCAAGAGATACAGCATAACTGAAGGCAAGGAGGATGCAATGCAGTGAGTGTAGCCAATGCTAAAGGGATTGGCCTGGCTCAACCACAGAGCTTGTGAAATAAAACCCAAAGTTTAATTGCATAGCTTAAATAGCTTAATAGATATTCTTCTATGAAATCTTGGTTGTTCTCATGAAAGAAACCATAGGGGACATGCAGCCACTCCTCTCTCCCTATCAGTGGGTTTTGCATCTTCAGATCCAAAATACTTGAAAAAGAATTCATTTATAATGAACATGTACAAACTTTTCACTATCCCTTAAAAAATGTAGTATACTATTTAGCTAGCATTTACATTATATTAATGGAATGGAATGTAAAGGAATGATTTAAAATATATAGACGTGTGTAGGTGATAAGTGAAAATGACACAATTTACTTGTAAAGAACTTGAGCACATGGAGACTTGGGGAGTGCCCCACAGGTCCTGAGGGGATGACTGTAATTGATTTTTGAAAAAAATAAAAGTCTTTTTTATTCACATGTACTCGTGTGTGGAGAGCGGCCTCAGAGGTTAGAAGAGGGTGTCATAGCTCCTGGAGCTGGAGTTCCAGGCAGTTGTGAGTCACTCTGTGGGGTTGCTGGGAGCCGAGCTCCAGTCCTCTGTAAGAGCTGGGAGAACTCTTAACTCTTAACCTCCCCAGCCCCCTCTGTAACTGACTCTTAAAGTTGTGATTTTGTGAATAAACTGTTAGCTTTGTTTAGCATAATGTGAGAAACTGGCCATAGACTCTTGGTGGAACTGCTCACCTGTTGAAGACCTCGGTGTGCTGAGGCCTCTGCCAGGACCTGAGGTTAGAGCTGCCAGCGGTTTCCTGAGGCTTGAGTGGCCAGGGGTGTTCCTCTAGGAAGCTTACACCCTGATGTCAGAGCATTAAGTCACTTCTCCACACAGAAACTCCTTGTCTTCATCCTGCTAACTCCACCTTTCCCCTTATTCCCAGAATTCCCCCTGCCCCATGAAAACAGCTCAGATCTTTCTTCTGACAACCCTGCCTCTGCCCAAAGGCCTCCTGCTCCTGCCCATCTGTTTTTACATTCCAAGTCTTCTTAGCTTTTTTTCCAGGGTTATTCTTGTTTTGAGGGCATTGATTTTTTTTTTTCATAGCCCTTTGCCATCCCATTTTAGTGGCCTTTTTCCTCCCTTACGTTTTCTTTATGTGTATATGTGTGTATCTTGTCCCCCTACCCCCTTTCTTGATTTCAAGAAGTCAACAAAGTATCTTATACTTACCTTTTTAATGATAGTACCAATTTTTGAAATGCATTTATTATCTTCTGTATAAAATCAGTACTTACACAAGGGCATAGATGGCTTTTCTATGTTCCTATTCACATGTCTTTTGGGAAATATGCAATTACATTAGTTCCCCACCCCTGAAAAACATGACAGTGATATAATGCGGCGAAATGTTTCCACGTGTCCATGGTAGGTTACTTTTTTTTTATTATTATTTATTTTATTTTATATAACAAAGTCCAATTAAATGAAAACAAACATTTATACACAATATTTGGGAATTTGGGCGTTGTTCTTTCCAAACTACTTCCTGTTGGTAAGGGGCGCTGTCATGGGGGATTCTAAGAAGATGCAGAAATCCTGGCTGTAGTCTGTAGGGCTGCTTTGTCCAGCTGTTTTGAATGTAGGATCACCTTGTACTCTGTTTCAGGCGGTCTAGCGTGATCAAACCACATTAGTCTGGAAGGAATCCACATCTTTTCATTTTCTGTGGAAACAAAAATAGAAATCCTTTTCCCCAGTAACTTGTCCTTACGTTTTTAAGGTTTTATTTTTAATGATGTGCATGTGTGTGAAGGTGACCACGGAAGCATCAGATTCCCTAAAGCTGGAGTTGCCCAGCATGGGTGCTAAGGACAGAACTTGGGTTCTGTTCAAGAGAAGTGCACTCTCTTAAGCACTGAGCCATCTCTCCAGCCCACGCTGTGTTTCTTCTCCCTCCCCCCCCCCATGATTTATTTTAAGTATGAGTGGCTTGCCTGTGTGCGCGTGTGCCCACGCGCGCCGGAGTCATGCCTGGTGCCAACTGAGAGCACAAGTGGCGTCAGGTCCCCTGGAACTGGAGTGAAGGATAGGCCTGAAAGACGAGCAACAAGTACTCTTGACCACTTAGCGACCTCTCCACAGACCCATCCCTTGGTGTTCCTTAATCTTAAGGTATATATTGCATTTGTTTCTAGGTGGACATACCACTGAGATCCTGAGGCTGGTGGGAAGCTTGTCCAGCGCTTACTCTCCTAGGCATTACATCATTGCTGACTCTGATGAAATTAGTGCCAAAAAAATTGAATCTTCTGAACGTGCTCGAACCCAGAAGGACTCTGCTCCTGAGGTACGTGATCATCTCTTTAAGTTGCAAGTTGTCCATTGAGTTCAATTGTCTGAAAATAATCCCATGGTATTTCAGTCCCATGGTATTTCAGTGCCCTGTGGGACTGAGCTAACTTCTCAGGACCGCCATCACAGTAGTGTGACCCCACAGAGTAGGCAGCTCAAACACATGGGTTCTCTCACAGTTCTGCAGGCCGAAAGTCTGAAGTCAAGCGGTCACGGTGTCACACCTCCTCAGAAGTCTCTAGGAAAGACATTCTCCTTGCCTTTTCCTGGCTTCCAGCCTTTGCTAGCAACCCTCAGCATACCTTAGCTCAGGTGAATACTTTTTGTTTGTTTGTATTTGTTTTTCAAGGCAGGGTTTCTCAGTGGTTTTGGAGGCTGTCCTGGAACTAGCTCTTGTAGACCAGGCTGGTCTCGAACTCACAGAGATCCGCCTGCCTCTGCCTCCCGAGTGCTGGGATTAAAGGCTTGCGCCACCACCGCCCGGCTCCTAGGGGGTATACGGCTATTGCTAGGCTTGTGGCTGTCGCTAGGCGGCACACTGGGCAGAGAATGCCAGCGAGCGATGCATGGCCAGGTTAAGGGGAGCCGCTCCTGCTCTTGGGGCTGAGGGCGCACAGCATGTGAGGGTGCACAAAGCCTGAACCATAGAGGCAGCCTGCAGTGTTTGGGGCTCAGCCGCCTGCAGTTTTTGGGTCTAAGGGTAGGTGGCGGCCCGAGGCTGCTGCAGAAAAAGCCCAAGGACTCACAGAGGGCCTGAGGGAAGAGAAGGGAAGCCAGGCACAGTGGCAGTTACGAGGTGGTGGCTTCACCACCCTGGCATGATCTAATAATGCTCCTGTGTTAGGCACCAGATGAGGTGTTTATCTCAATTCTTCTATTATTAATAAAAACTCAGGAGTCACAAATTGGGACAAAAGCTGATAAATCCAAAGAGCAGCTGAGAAAATGATTGGCTGATACCCACCCCCCTCACGTTTCCCAGGATCAAAACCACCCACCAATTTCCAGATCTCCCCTGTTACTCCCTGTGCATCTTTCTGTCGGTCTCTCCGGGTCCTCCAATGTCTTTGTGGCTAATTCTGGCCAGCTGAACATTGACTCCGCCCTTTGACTTGAGATTTAACTTTGCTGGCAGTCTTGGAGGGCCAGTGAACAAAGCCCCTGCCACAATACTGTTATCTGTGACATGATTACCAAGCCTCTGTTGGTAATTCTATTTTATTAAATTGCATACGTCAGTTTGAGAGGTATTTAACATAGTTGAGTCAGAAGTTCAAGAGAGTGGTCTGGCCTGGAATATAAATTTCGGGGTTGTCTTTGTATAGACTACTGTGGTGAAAATAAGAAAAAACGTGCTTGATAACAGAAGAGAACTAAGAACTGGGCCCAGGCACTGTAAGTGTAGGGGGACTGACTGGAAGTACTGGCTGTCAGTTTATCGTGCCTTTGTGGGCCTTTCTGCTAGGACTGAAGCCTCTGCTCAAGGGACATGGTGTAACAGTGCCTTCTCCCCCAAACCCCAGCATCACAGATCTCTGCCCCCTTTCATCTTCTCCTTTCTTGAGAGCAAGTCTGTGTTTCTCTTTCTCCCTCGGAATATATGCCGTTATATTTGCTGCAGCATTTTCCCAATTTTATCTAGAAATACATTGAACATACTCTATTGCAGTGAAAGTAATTTAAATTGGTCTTGCTTTAGCAGCTTTAATTTCTGCTAAAATTCTCCAAATGCCTCTCGCATCACTCATCTTAATCAGTCACTTTGAAAACATTGTGCACTGAAACAAACAAACAAACAAACAAAAAACGGTGAACGCAGAGTACCAAGGACCTGCCTCCGCTTTTCTGGTCTCCTCACAAGTGTGGAAATGTTTGCTCAGTGCATAGTTCTCGTCTCCGTTTAGATAAATGGCATGCATTATCGGCATGGCTGACACCGGCTTCCTGGCCTGCTGGCCCTGGCCATCACTGTGTTAGTGTCCTCAATGTATCCGGACGCAGACTCAGAAAAGCACTAGCACCTTCCGGGTATGGACTGTATCCATGGGTAGAAGTAACAGGACTAAGTAGGAGAGACGGAGGTGAAGGCAGTGGACGATCGAAGAAGTGCCTGTGGTGTAGACGATGCGGAAACTGGCGACGGGACACAGGGCAGCAGGCAGAGTCCTTCCAGGGTGCTCCCGGTGACCCTCATGACCTCTGCAGCAGTGCTAGGCTCAGAGTTCTTTATCTTTTGCCTCCTTCTCCCCCATCCCATCCCATCCCATCCCATCCCATCCTGTGATATTTGAAACAGTCTAGATTTGTCATTCGGATCGTTTTTATTTAAAGCTACATAACAGTTTGTCCATTTCCACATTAATTTCCATCAAAATTTCTGGAGTTAAAGTTTTCCTGTCTGCAAACATAGGAATGTCAAAACTGACTATGGTAAATGAGATTGACTCGCAGGATGACTGGCCCGGATGGAAAGAGCAGGAGGAGCCAGTGACGAGGAGGATTTGGGGACCCTAGGTTGGTGGCTCCTTTTCCCCACTCTAGGGTTCTTATTTTGATCTCTGTTAGTTTGAGGGATGTGGCGTGGGGGACGTGGGGCCCCAGCGGGTAGGCCACCGGTGTCAGCCTTTTAGTGTGTTTGTAAGAGGAAGACTTATTTTTGCATTGCCATTCTGTCTGAAGCAAATTCAGGGTCAGTTCTAATTGGAATCTGGATTTTGATGTGTGGTCTGTGTGTGCCCTGCCCTGTACTGGTTCATATAAACACCAGCCCCTCCCTGGCAGAATGTTCCTCACTGTTTTCCCTGATAGAACTTTCCCAATGCAATTTCCATGTTATCAACAATACTCCTGTTGCTACCGGCCTTGAACTGTCTTTATAGTTTAAATTGTCAGGCTTTTTGAGTGAGTAGGAAAGTGTGTTCCATTTGAAACATAAACAGTAACTGCACTGTGTAGTCATGCAGTTTTACCCGTATCCCTACAAGCTCACCAAGTGCATCCTTTCACGGTTGATGCTGAAGAGATGGCTCAGCGGTTAAGAGTGCTGCCACTCTTCCAAAGGTCCTCAGTTCAATTCCCAGCAACCACATGGTAGCTCACAGCCATCTGTAATGAGATCTGGTGCCTTCCTCTGGCCTGCAAGCATACATGCAGATAGAATACTGTATACATAATAAATAAATAAACCTTTAAAAAAAAAAAAAAAAAAAAAAAAAAAAAAAAAAAAACCCTGAGCCCCCAGAAACCACTGGTTTCAGTTCCTTAGAATTAACTGTTATGTGGAAATATCCTCTTTGGTTTATAACTTCTTATTCTTGTATAGAATTTTTATGGTTCTGGACATGGAGAGTCACACCTATAATCTCATCACTTGGGAACTGAGGCAGGTGAATTGCTGTGATTACAAGACTAGCCTGGCCTTAACAGGGAGTTCAGGCCAATCTGGACTACAGAGTAAGACCGACTTCAAAAGAAAAAAAAAAAAAAAGAAAGAAAGAAAGAAAGAAAAAGAAGAAGATGAAGAAGCTAAATAAAGATTTAAATAATAAAATTCAGTGAATTTTTAAATGTTTTGCCAGTTTGTAGAAAAGTATCATTATCAACCTATTTATGGTAAATATGCAGCATATTTTGAGTTTTAAAATTTAAGAATATGACTTGATCAGTCAAATGATAGAGGGAACTTTCTTCAGGTTTCTCTTTATTCCTTTTATTTAGATTGTAAGGAATAATTATTTTTTTTTTTTTTTTATTTCTGTGCATGGGCATGAGTGTGCCTTGGGAGTTCAGTGCTGGGCCATCTCTCCAGCCCCTAGATATGTTTTTAATGGCATTAAGTTTTAGATGCTTAGTCCACTGCATTTATAACACGAAAGTAACGAGAAATGAGTCTCCTCAGTGTGTTGTATGGCTGCATTAGTCAACTTCCATCTCTGAGTCACTTCATCACCCGTATGAGAAACCCTCCCCTTGGCTAACAGAGAACTAACTGAGAGGTAGTGGGAAGACCCCCTCACCTCCCGGGTAGGAATATTTGTCTGTGAAGTCACGTGCATGAAAAAAGTGTCCCGCCTGCATAGGCGGTGGTGCATGCCTTTAATCCCAGCACTCGGGGTGCAGAGGCAGGCAGGTCTCTGTGAGTTCGAGGCCAGCCTGCTCTACAGAGCAAGTTCCAGGACAGCTAGAGCTACATACAGAGGAACCAAAAAGAAAAAAAGTCTCCAAACTTCTAAAGAATAAGTAGTCTCCACTGGGATTAGTTCTGAAGTCAAGAGTCACTAGAGAGATGTCACCAACCACAGTGGGTAGTAACCTGCCTGGAGAAGCTGTTCCAAGAGCTAAACTGTGATTCCCACTGGAGCGGTTTCAGCCAGGCTGCTCACAACCCCTAGCCCAACCCTGCACCTGGAGGAAAGGAGCTGTGGGCTTTTATTTGCTTCTGAATGGGAGGGAGCCTCTGTTTTACCGAGTGCCTCCCCTGACTGCCTTGCTCCTGTTAACTTCTGTCAGGTCGTGAGTTGGGCCCTTCAGGTCAGATGACTAAAGGAAAAAGCTCTGTGGCACTGGAACAAAATACTTTTTAAACTACTTTTGTCATTGTGGAATGAAAACTCATACATAAAACAAAGTCCTTGAAAAGGGTTTGAAAGGTTGAAACATGGAGCCAGCCTCATCACTTTGAATCTTCCCGCTGGTCTATCATTAGCCTTCAGGTGTCTTCCCAGGAAAGGGTGGTTGGTTGTCTGTTCGTTCATATTGGAAACCTTGAGTGCTGATTCTCGACAAAAGTACTATGGTAAAGATCGAAGCCATACTTCATTGACTAGATCCTAGAGTCAACGCTGACAGTTTCTCTTTCTTTACTGTCTTCTGTTCTTGGCATATTTCCTTCCTTTTTGTTTGTTTCCTAATTTGAAATGTTTAGACAGTGAAGATTAAAAGGAAATCTGGGCACTGGCTGGAGTGGGGTGCTGCCGGTGCTGGTTTCTTCCTGAA